TATGTATGTATCTTGAAACCGCGATTTACTTTCCAAATATAGGAGAATAAGATATTTTCGTTACTCGACATAAGTTACATTCGAATATGAAGTCGGGGAGTTGCGTATCGCTGTCGTATCTGGACTGAATAATTTTCTCATCTAAACGTTCGTTAGTGCTGTGAGATAGAATTACTCGTCTCTCCTGACATAAATACGATGCGCGTAATTAACGTGCAATAACGTTGTAAACCATCCAGTATTCGGAAAGCGCAATTGTGTGGCTTTATTAAATCCTAGGAGACTTTTAAACATGCTATATCTCTCAGAAAACTTTGTTGACACTGCTGATTATTTCGACGATTTTGTGCTATACTTGTGTACGAAAGGAATCACAGGGTTTTAAGAAATTATTAAAGTAAAACAAATAAAAGAGCACGTTCGATGGCTGGTAGAAAATTTTTTTACGTGCTCGTTTCTGATATGCTCGCTCTTTTGTTCATTTTAATATAATACAATGATTACGTTTGAAAATTTTATTCGGGTGCACACCGCGTCGTTCTATCTTTCGTTATTTACTAAAAATTGAACAAGGACAGAACGCGACACTGGTGTTCACTCGAGTGAAGTTTTCGAACTCAGCCAATGAAGTTGACATATGTACATATATATCGCGATAAATCAATATTCCATGAAATATCAGTTTTAGACAGAAATGTCTCTCGACAACTGCGGTATATCGAAATTTTTACTTTAAAAATTATTTTCTACAACTGATATTTTAATATCAAGCTGTCGTATTTTACGTATCTCAATCGATGTACTTCTGTTATTCTTTGTCAATAATAGTGTCAGAGAAAATTACTTTGTTAAATCCTCGTTTATTAATCCGAGCTGTTTCGCTTCTGATGCAAGAAGTGTTTCTGTTTATGCGCAATTATGGCTCCTGGGTACTCATCGCGGCCATGTTGGAAAGAAGCGAGAAATAAAAATTTGAAAATTTGAAAATTCTTACGTAGTATTTCCAAATAAAAAGATATTTGCTTAAAATAACACTGCAGATCACTTCAGCACACTTCGAAAATACTCCGAGTTGAGGTTAAGTCTACCCCTTTCCCTTGACAGTTAATAAACAGCCGTAAAATGAATGTGATACAATGCAGGCTTGTGCCTGTGGATGTGTGAATGTAATACGAAATCTAGTCATGCGCCTGCGCACAAGCCTGCATCGTATCACATTCGTTTTACGACTGTTTATTAACTGTCAAGGGAAAGGGGTAGACTTAACTTCAACTCGGAGTATTTTCGAAGTGTGCTGAAATGATCTGTAGTGTTATTTTAAGCAAATATCTTTTTATTTGGAAATACTACGCAAGAATTCTCAACGTGTCAATTCTCAACATTTCTCGCTTCTAACGTCACATCTCATGAGATATTGGGAAAGAGCCCTGGAGCCTTAATCGTACACGTTAGGAAAGAGAGATAAACGAGAGAGTTAATTAACGATACGAATGATTATGATTAAATTGAACTTGATACAGTACTTGATCCATACCGAAGAAATCTATGATTCGTACAGAGAGCATTAGAACTTTAAGTTCTTAGCGAATTGATAACATAAGATTATAATGGGATTTGCTAGTGTATTTATTTATTTTCGACATGGCGCTAATCTCGGTGGTGATACCGTGTCGTCTTTACTTCGATCACTATTCGCACCGTCTACTACTTATGCTAACAACAAGCTAAAAATCGTCGTAGGTAGACGCGACCAATTGCAACCGATTGCAACTTTTCTACAGTCACGACCGACTTTCTCGAAATCAAAGACATCTCACACTCACATCACGAATGAACAATCAATCGTGAAACGCTTCCACTAAGTGCTAAACATTCAAGCTAACATATCTATCTGCGATTGAAAATACACTGCGGCCACTTTCAGCATGTAGCGTTTTCAAAATCGTCGAGCTTGCCGATTAAAATGGTACTAAGATAGCAATAGCACCTCGTCCAATCGTGGTTCCTGATTCTTCATTGCATTCATTGGATTGTGACGGCAAAAGCGAGAAATTGTGTTAATCACATATCATTCGACCGTTATATTTTACAAGAATGTACTGATTTCCGTAATCCACAATCATACAAATGAAACCAATAATATGTATAAATTGTTTTTGTCATCTCTAAAAGGCTATAGCTACAAAAAACATTTTTCACATGTATTTATTTTCTTTACTTGTATATTTCTTTACGATAAACAATAAGCGAGGTCTTGGGAAGAAGAAACGTACTAAAAATGTAATAATAAAATATTTCTGAAATAGATACGCTATACGTTTGAGGTAAATTTGGTTCTATTTTTTTCCGCTCATCATAATTAATAGGTTTTATAGTCCTGCAACAGTTCGACGCGGATTAGCTGTAAAAATTCAGCAGAATTCGCGTTCGATGGATTCTGCTCGATCCCTTTAAACCAAGTCTCATGGGCAGGTAGAGCGGGTTAAACTGAATCAAAAAGTCCTTTACCATAAGTTGAGAAACTTAAAAAACGGTAAAGAGAATTAAGTTTAACCCGCTCTACCTACCCACAAGACGTGGTCCACTTATTACCTAACACCTTGTATATACCGTATATTCACAAGCTCCGTCATTTAGAGTACAAATTTTATTTTATTTACTATCCAATGATGATTAAGGAGACGATTAAGATTCTGGTGTATTTTGACGTCATCAAATGCAAATAAAAAAGTTGATTTATCTCGATTACTAGGGTAGGAAAAAGATTGACGTAATTTCTCGCTTGTGACGTTATAATCATCGTAATATCGTACAGTGGTATGACTGCAGCTTATCAGGATCAGTCAGGAATTTGAAAAAAAAACTCACGGAGAAGGTATTATGTGGATACAGACACCCTGATTGAACGTTCGACGTTCGACTCGGCGTTATCAAGGCGGGATACGACGAACCATAGGTATTACAAACGTTATTTTCACAATTATTCTCTGTCTAACGTTGTAATAAAAATAGTTTTAATGCTTTCGTAGGACGTATTCGTGATACATAACAATTGTACTGATACAATTTGATTCCAACGGCCAAGCTTAATTTAAAATTTGATAAAAATGTATTATGACTTGAGCTCTAGATCAGCTAGGGTTTAAGTCTCAAAACCTCATCTCACAATTAGTAATTATCCCGTGCGACATAGGTATTTTCGATTCGGTGTTACTGGTTTGGTAACAAAACACCGGCGAATTGGCAGAAAACCTTTCCCGCATTAATATCAATGCTCTCGTTACTAGATATGTTTCGTAAGTGATCCTGAGCATGCCGTTCATGATTGAGGACGGACGCACGACGATCGATAGGCAAACGCTTCTCCGCTTGACGCAATGTATAGCTATCTTTTAATGTCGCTACATTTCGATGTATGTACTTTGTAACGGAAATGAAGAAGAAATCGAAGGAATGCGCTTGCTCTCAGGGTTGGGCGTTTACGCATAAAATATAATAATCTACATCTACATGTATACAATGTATAAAAATTATTATGTTTAACGTGTCATGTAAACAATGAGTAATTCATTGATCACCGAACATTCTATTTTGTCAGAAATATCGAAACTTTATGTTTTGTTTGCAATCTTATTTTCAGTCATTATTATTTAGTTTGCACACAGTTTTTAGCATCCTACGAAAAATTAACAGATCAGATCAGCGTAAATAATAATATTTCTATATTAGTATATCATATATCTTTTATATCACTGTACAGTTAATATAGTAATAAATAAATTACAACTAAAAATGCATCTAATTTAACCTAGTTCAATTTTAACTGATTGATTAATTGATTTTTAACTATATTTTCACCAACAGTTCTAAAAAAATAAAACTGTTTTTTTTATGACTAAAAATACAGTTTAAAAAATCAATCAATCAATCATTATAATTTATAACAATTTACATTGCTTAATTATATTGTTTACATGGAAAATTTAAGGTTCGCGTGAACATAACGTAAACAATCCATGTAGATGTAATCTTGAAATTTACACAACCCTGGCTCTCTCTCTCTCTCTCTCTCTCTCACGCTCTCTGTCTCTGTTTGTCTCTGCCTCTCCCCAGACGATGCGATCACTTTTACCATCATTTTGTATATTCGACAATCGATCTAAATATGTCACATATATATGTATATTATACATATACGAACTCGTATGTGATGAGCTTTAGTCGTGGCACGCGATCGTGTAATTAACATCGTTTATTCTCTCTTATAATTAGTCTCCTGTACGTTTCTTACGTTTAAGATTAAGGAGAGTTTGGTTGCTCAAATCATATTATATGATAAGAATTATATTTCAAATTTATAGAGAGACAAATAAAGTTTATGAAGACAATTGTCTGCATGGTTGTCGAGTAATTGATTATTGAAGTTATTCTCTCTCTCTCTCTCTCTCTCTCTCTCTCTCTCTCATACATGGATGACATAGCAAAAATGTTATGACACCTGTAAGGGCCTCCGCACAATAAAAAATATAAGGAATAAAGGACAGATATTAAG